GGAGGGAAAATAAACGTGCTTAATTGTTATTTAATTTATATACTGCATAGCATAGTTAGGATGAAATTGAAAACATGTTTTAAACATGAAATGCATAACACAGAAGCGGAGCATAAATATTAACCAATTTAACATACTTATATTCCTATATATACATCAGTTATGGCTTTAAGAAAAAGTACTTTAGTGAATGTATGAACTTAACTGTCATTAATATACATTCTGTTTAAGGATATTGCACCGTTCGTTTAATTTGACATGAATAAAGTGGAAAGGACGTTTAATGAAAGATTTAGTAACCATACGAATTTTAACACAAAATGCTGTTTAAAATGTATGAACAATGTTTAATAACTCTTTTTAAACGAATTGAACTTCTACTGATCTGTATGAGTGAATTGCCAGCAAGGCAAATAAACGAAAGTTTACACAAAACGAAAACGAAAGTTTATACGAAAAGAGTAAACAAAAGTTCATACGAAAGTAAACGGCAGTTTACACGAAATAAAAATATATACGAAAGTGTGTTTTACAAGAACGGCAGCTATATATATATATGAATGGTTAAACATAAGATTTTTAGGCGAATGTATTTCTGACAATGTATGAATGAAGTGTGCGAGGAAACAGACGAAAGTTTAAACGAACCTCAGATTACACGTAGAGTAGCGGCATGTGAATGAATGGTTATTATCAGCTTTATAGTTGAACGGAAATGTTTAGATGAACGAGTGATTAATGATAAGTATAGGGGTTCGAATGATAGAGTATAACTTACAGTTAGCCGTTCGTATGCTGGCTTCCTTGTTATGCTCACGAACTTAGTTTAGAACAGAAAGTTTGAAACGGACTGCCGGTAGGCGGGAAAATTACGTCAGGGTCCTGTGAACTAGAAGTAAACAGAAGCACTTCCAAGATCGTAGCTGACAGGTAAGCAGGGGCTTAATGGGTTTAAATAGGGTATATAGTGCCTCCCACAATTACAGGCCAAGCCTTCTATATATATAGTGGTATGGATGTTGAATGTATATCTTTGACATCTTTTCGCCTGTTTGCAATGGGTGAAGTTATCTAATTTATCAATTTCTAAATTTATCATGTATGTCACCTGGAAGGGTTAATCCATAATACTCTTTTACCTTCCAATGACTGACCTTAGCTCTGGCAGACTGAGCATGTTTATCATTATAAATAAAGGTCTGTGATAAGTGAAGTAAAGTTTCTACCTGTCTTTCAGTTAAATTTTAACTGTTGAAGTACTTCACTTACATTAATTATATTACCATATATACTTGAGTATGAGCCGACCCGAATATAAGCCGATGCCCCTAATTTTACCACAAAAAACTGGGAAAACTTATTGACTCGAGTATAAGCCTAGGGTGGGAAATGCAGCAGCTACTGGTAAATTTCTAAATTAAATTAGATCCCAATAAAATTACATTAATTGAATATTTATTTACAGTGTGTGTATAGAATGAATGCAGAGTGTGTGTGTTTGTGTGTGTATATATATATTGAATGCAGTGTGTGTGTGTTTGTGTGTTGTGTGTGTGTGTGTATATATATAATGCAGTGTGTGTGTTTGTGCAGTGTGTGTAAACTGGATGAGGGGAGGGCATTTTATTTTAATTTTTTAATTGTATTATATTATTTTAATATTATTATTATATTATTATATTATTATTATTTTAATATTATATTATTTTCATAATATTATTATTATTTTAATATTTGCATTTTTTTTTAAATGTTTTTTTGTGCCTCCTCCCTGCTTGTTGCCTGGTCAGGGAGGGGGGACAAAAATTTTTTTTTAAAAGATAATGCAAATATTAAAATAATAATAATAATATAATAATAAAATAATATTAAAATAATATAATATTAAAATAATAATATTATTTTATTATTATATTATTTTAATATTTGCATTATTTTTTAAAAATGTTTTTGTCCCCCCTCCCTGGCCAGGCAGCAAGCAGAGAGGGGGGACAAAAAACATTTAAAAAAATAATGCAAATATTAAAATAATAATAATAAAATAATATTAAAATAATATAATATTAAAATAATAATATTATTTTATTATTATATTATTTTAATATTTGCATTATTTTTTAATGTTTTTTGTCCCCCTCCTTGGCCAGGCAACAACCAGGGAGGGGGGACAAAAAAAATTTAAAAAAATTATGCAAATATTAAAATAATAATAAAATAATATTAAAATAATATAATATTAAAATAATAATATTATTTTATTATTATATTATTTTAATATTTGCATTATTTTTTTTAAATGTTTTTTTTTTCCCCTCCCTGGCCAGGTAACAAGCAGGGAGGGACCAAAAAAAATAATGCAAATATTAAAATAATAATAATAAAATAATATAATATTAAAATAATATTATTATATTATTATATTATTTTAATATTTGCATTATTTTTTTTAAATGTTTTTTTTTTCCCCTCCCTGGCCAGGTAACAAGCAGGGAGGGGGGACAAAAAAAAATGAAAATATTAAAATAATAATAATATAATTTTAATAATATTTTATTATTATTAAAATATAATAATATTAAATCCCTAGTGGCCCAGTGGCATTGGCAGTTCAGTGGGGGGGCCGACAGTGAGCTCTTACTTCCTTCCTGCAGCTCCTGTCAGCTCCCTCCTCCTCCGTGCAGCTCCCCGGTCAGCTCCGTTTTGTTTACAGTGCAAGTCTCATGAGACTTACACTGTGAGCAGAACGGAGCTGACCGAGGAGCTGCACGGAGGAGGAGGGAACTGACAGGAGCTGCAGGAAGGTAAGTAACAGCTCTCTGTCAGCCCCCAACAGGACCGCCGGGCTTGTAATGAGCCCGGCGGTTCTGGTCTGTATTACGGCAATGTAAATTGCCATAATACAGACTGACTCGAGTATAAGCCGAGTTGGGGTTTTTCATCACAAAAAATGTGCCGAAAAACTCGGCTTATACTCGAGTATATACGGTATATTAATATTTGCTAATTTAAATGAATACTGAGTAGTTCTGATTTAATAAAAACATTTTACATTTTCTTGTAAGGTTAAAACATTATTCATTATTGCAGTTGTTATTGTAATCATATGATCTTTAACTATCGTGATTCAATTATGTAAAGATACATTGTTAAAATAAGATAATCTGGCCACTGCTTGGATTTAATCTACAAGTAAATGTCCAGTAGATATAAAGGAATATGCATTGTTTAGTTCTTTCCTTTTGCTGCGAGACACATGCATTAATGTACATTCATCTGGGTAATTAGCTGTTATGCTCTTATACTTTATGTCTAATATATTTTTTTGTGGGCCAGACTGCAGCTGCATATGGCATTTTAGCATTATTTTTCAATTACATTTCAGATATTCACAAAGTCTATCCACCTTTGTAATTAACACATTGTGTGTTTATTTTATACCATGAATTATAGTATCTGTATTATATTACATATTGTCACTGACACATATCTGATACAGGGAAAAAAAAACACATGATTGCTTTAGTAATTATACATTTTCTGTCCATGCACCACATTCCTGGAAGTCCAGAATATAGCAAGAATCCTTTGTCTATGGTTCTATGGAGCCATTTAACGTTTTGATTGGTATAGTTATACCAAAAGAGCAATTGGTAGATCACATCTGCAATAGAACCATTACAGATTCCTTGTTGTATCATTTTTTTTCTGTGTTTATGTTTACAGGGGTTCCTTGCTTTGCAGGTATGAACATAATATGTAGAGTTTAACAAAAGCTGCAAATCGTTCTTTAGTACAAGTGTCCCATGATGTCAAGTTGCTGAAAGGTTTTGCTGGCCTTTTATATTCCATTCTCTTGGCAGGGCATCTGCTCTTAATAGGCATTATTTATTAATTGCATCAAGGTTTCTTTCGTTAATTGATGTGCTTCGAATTCAAATTCACATGCCACCAAATGTCATTGTAAAGTTCATTATTACAGAATATGGTTCCAGTATGGTTTTTCACTCCAGTAGGAAATCTATATTCTTCTTCTGCTTCTTCCTATCAACCCCCTTTTTTTTTTTTAGTTGTAGGTAACAATCTGTGTCTTGTACTGTGAGCTGCTCTGATAGTCAATCAGGTATTCTCAGTACTATGTTCCATCTTGAGAAATAGCTGGGTGTTGACAGTTATCAGCCTTTATTTCTTTTCCAAAATTAGACTCCTATGCATATAGTGCAGTGCAGGGTGTGTATAATGAATGTAGTGTGTTTGCAGTGAATGCAGAGTATGAATAATAAATGTAGTGTGTTTATAGTGAGTGCAGTGTGAATAATAATTGTAGTGTATTTGTAGTGAGTGCAGAGTGTGTATAATGAATGCAGTGTGTTTTTAGTGAGTGCAGAGTGTGTATAATGAATGCAGTGTGTTTTTAGTGAGTGCAGAGTGTGTATAATGAATGTAGTGTATTTGTAGTGAGTGCAGTGTGTATAATAAATGTAGTGTATTTGCAGTGAGTGCAGTGTGTATAATAAATGTAGTGTGTTTGTAGTGAGTGCAGTGTGTATAGTGAATGCAGTGTGTATAGTGAATGTAGTGTTTTTGTAGTAAATGCAAAGTGTGTATAGTGAATGTAGTGTGTTTGTAGTGAGTGCAGAGTGTGTATAATGACTGTAGTGTGTTTGTAGTAAGTGCAAATTGTGTATAATGAATTTAGTGTGTTTGTAGTGAGTGTAGAGTGTGTACAATGAATGCAGTTTATTTGTAGTGAGTGCCGAGTGTGTACAATGAATGCAGTGTATGTAGTGAGTTTGTAGTGAATGCTGAGTGTGTATAGTGAATGCAGTGTGTAGTGAGTGCAGAATGTGTATAATGAATGCAGAGTGTGTATAGTGAATGCAGAGGGTGTATAGTGAATGTAGTGTGTTTGTAGTGAGTGCAGAGTGTTATAATGAATGCAGAGTGTATAGTGAATGTAGTGTGTTTGTAGTGAGTGAAGAGTGTGTATAATGAATGCAGTGTGTGCATGTGCTGGATGATGTGTGTGTGAGTGCTGGATGACGTGTGTGTGCGCGCTGGATGACGTGTGTGTGAGTGCTGGATGATGTGTGTGTGTGTGCTGGATGATGTGTGTGTGAGTGCTGGATGATGTGTGTGTGCTGGATGATGTGTGTGAGTGCTGGATGATGTGTGTGTGTGTGTGCTGGATGATGTGTGTGTGAGTGCTGGATGATGTGTGTGTGTGTGCTGGATGATGTGTGTGTGAGTGCTGGATGATGTGTGTGTGTGTGTGCTGGATGATGTGTGTGGGGGGGGGGAGCATTTTTTTACTTTATGTATAATTTTTATTTTATTCCCCCCTCCCTGCTTCTTACCTTACCAGGGAGTGGGGAGATCGCCTGGTGGTCTGGTGGAGGGAGCCAGCCGCTGCACACAGGGGCCATCGCACGCTGTGTTCCCTCTCCAGCTCTAACTCTCGCGAGACTCGCCTTTGCGGAGCGTTGCCATGGTAACAGTTACGGGTCTCGCGAGAGTTATAGCTGGAGAGGGAACACAGCGTGTGATGGCCCCTCTGTGCAGGTAGCAGGGCCAGTCCTGCAGGACAGGTAACGGGAACGGCGTTCCTGCTTTGGAAAAAGTTCCCATGCATTCCTGCAGGACTCGAGCCCTGATTACATCCCTTATACACAAATACACACTGCTTCCACTACACACAAACACACTGCATCACCTACACAAACTTGTATCCCTATACACTACATACCATAAGCACACATATTAGATCCTCTACAATAACACATAACACATTCCCTACACACTCCACTCCCTGTGAGCGAACTCATGGGTGGGTGGAACCTATAAGTGGACTTATGAGTGGGCCTTATGGACATACTCACCGTCAGGCCCTGGGGCCACAAAAAAATTGAGCTGTTTCCAATTCTCCCAGAACATTGAATATTGTGACCACAGTTGCAAACAGTCTCCAGAGATCCTGTTCTACACCAGACCAGTGGAGCCAAACTGCAGTCCATCATCATCCTCATCTGGTTGTAAGTAGGCAATCTAGTATGATATTAGTGACACTAATCTATAATTTACCTCACATTAAAGGGACACTATAGTCCCGAGAACCACTTCAGCTTAATGAAGTGGTTCTGGTGTCTATAGCCGGTCCCTGCAGGCTTTTTAATGTAAACACACACTGTGTGCAGCACTGGCGTTAGTTCATATGGCAGATCATATGGTTGGGGCATTGTGATGTCATATGGGGGGGCGGCAAATTTTTCTTTTGTCTAGGGCGGCAAAAATCCTTGCACCGGCATTGATCCTGGGCAGGTGCACCAGTCTACTGGTGACCCACAGGAGGGGAGTGCACTGATTGCACTGCACTCTTCTCCTGCCCAGACCCGTCTTTAACGCAGTGCAAGTGCCCTCTGCCCCTAATTTACAGTGGCTCACACTCACAACAAGCAGTGCCTGGAGCCCTTTGCAGAGACAGGGAACAAAGAGGTTCTGCGGCAGCTGGCTGTCCTGCAAGCATTACTTTAAACAGCTGTTCCCCATGCAGCCACCGGTGGCGCTGTGCTGGGAGAATGTGATTACTCTTCACTTCCTCCCAGCCTACGGAGCAGCGCATGGGAGAGAAAGAGGAGGAGGCATGGTTTAATCTTACAACAAATCCAGTAAGCAAATCTTTGTAAATTTGGGGGGATCAGCTCTGTTTCCACAGTTTTTTGGTGTTTACTCTGATGTCTGTATTAATATTGAGGGATGTCTAAGTAGTAACATCAGTGTGTGTCAGCAGGGCCAGCCGTTGGGGTGTGCAAGCTGTGCGGTCACGCAGGGTGCCATGACAACAGAGGCGCCTGGCGGCCAACACAGCTCACAAGTTGGCGACACCAGCATATTCAATTTAAACGATTTGCTGGTGGTCCACTGGTGCGCACCAGCAGTAGGTGCAGTCAGATTATATCCTCTCCCTCGTGGTTCCGGCGCTCAGTTAGTGAGTCAGGGCACAGGCTCAGAGATTCTCAGCCTGCACTCTGACAACATTGAAAGTCAGAGCAATGAAGGAGCGGGTATGGCAAAGAGCTACTGATTAGTATAACATCAATATCCGTTATAAAACCAGGAAAAGGTGGGCATGGATTTGGTGGTGCAATCGGCCACTTGACTGGTTTTGCCCCCCAGGCCTAAGGCTGCAAGCCCTCCCCTGACTTGTATTATGTGCAGTCCAATTCAGGCTTCTTGCTTGTTAGCATAATCCCAATGCAGTTTTAAAATGACAGCTAGGGTTGATGTTATGATCATGCTGCAGATTGTAAGAAAGAGACACCATAACCAATTTTCTGGCATCCTTTTGCTTCCATCTTTGCATTTCTTTCTTACTGTATAGGATAATTCAGGTACAGTCTGTTTTCTCCAGAGTCTTTCTGATAATGTTGATGATTCATTTTTCATATATTCCATGTTAACTGTGAATGTATCACATCTGTCTGTTCATCCTTCTCCTTCACATTTGCAGGTTCAGATGTCAGATCATGATTCAGTCTGTTACGTGGCTTTGATTTTGGTGGCTGTGTTCTGGTGGCATTTCTGTTGTCCTCTGTTTGTTTTATCTTTTATCCTTTTTATTATTTTTGTTGGATAGTACCAGATACACATGACATTTGCTGGCGCAGCAGCTTGTTGGTAACATGCAACACGTACATTTTCATAACACAAGATACATTTACACATAGCGGAAATACAGTGGTTATTTAAGATTTAGCTGCTCTCAAGACAATTGGTATAAGGATACACTGTTGTTGCACAATGGTTTTTCTTGGGTGTTCCCATGCAGGTTTCCTCAGGCCTGTGTGAGTCTATGCCTCCGACACGCAGTTGTTACTTGTATGTCAATCGTGCCATGCATCCGGGTACAGAAAGAAAAAAGTTAGAGGGAGTGGGTACATAGTAACATTCAACCTTAGAACTGTATAACTGTATAACCTGGGTAATTGTGCTTATTGCGTTCAGCAAAGCGTTCAAATTGTGAGTCTATTCAACCTCTATTGCCCATAGTCCTCCATCCCATCCCGTCCCATGGTCATCGGGGTCTATCCAGTTTCAGTTTCAGTCTCATCCACCCTGTCACTTGCTCGGAAGCACAATCAGTTGATCCAACATTTAGTGTGTTGCGCAGGCACCCCCCTTATTCTAAGGGTCATCTGTTCATAAAGACATATACTGTCCATCCTGTGTTCTACCTCTTTGAGGGATTGGGATTGTGTCACTTTTCCAATGTGAGGCTATTGCAATTTTGGCTGTAGTTAATACATTAAGAGCAATCATGGTTGTGGGATGCCCAGTGGGGTTGGTCATGGGTATCATGTGGAGCAAGTAGCTCTCAGGAGACTTTGGTAGTGTCAGCTCAGTGACTGAGTGTATGAGCGTTTGAATTTTGGACCAGAATGAGTTTAGGTTTGACAATTCCCAGAAAATGTGTAGCAAAGTCCCCGGTGCATTTGCGCATCTCCAGCACAAAGGTTGGGAAGATTTTGGACAGTGTTATGGGGAAGATTTTGGACAGTGTTATGGGGACTAGGTACCAGCACATTGTGATTTTACAGTAGGCTTCCCATAGGGACAGGCTCTGGGAAGCAAGGGGAACGTTCTCTGGATGTCCTCCTCCCATCTCCCCATGTAAGGGAGTTTGTGCCTCTCAGTCTCGTCCCATAGGGCATTATAGCAGAGGGATAGGGGTTTGAATGAGCGGGAAGGCATCCCGTAGAGTATGGTTAGCGGCAAAATTCACTTTGCAAGGCTGGGAATTACTTTAAGTTATCCAGATCATATAGTTATCCAGATCATATTTGTGGATACCCAAAGCTGACCATTTGTGGAGAGCAAGGTCAGGAGAGCTGGCCTGCAGCACCATGAGTGGGGCCGCCCTAAACAGTGATTTTGCGCTGACCAGCACCGGGGCTCAAGTCCTCCATGTGGCAAGAGTGGTCTTTGTACACCACAATGCAGCTTTCCCCGTGGGGTTTGATGCACTGGTCCACAGGGCGTTTGTCAGAGTGATCGGGTGTAGACAGGCATTCTCGAGTGCTAACCATAAAGGGGGCTATTCCATAACTGGGGATCTAAGCAGTCTCAGGCCTTGTGCAAACAACGAAGCTCTGTGGTAATAGCAAATGTCAGGGATCCCCAATCGGCCCTTGGTGTAAGGTAAGCCCAACTAGGTGGTGGCCATTGTGGGGGGCTTCTGTTTCCAAACGTGGGCATTAATGGTTGTTTGGAATCTCTTTAGTAATTGGGCTGAAAGTGGTATGGGGATAGTGCGGAAGAGATAGAGTATTTGCGGCATTATCAACATTTCAATATAGTTAATGGGGCCCAACCACAACACCTCCAACCCCTCCCACTCCATCATTTGAGATGCTAGTTTGTGGATCATAGGCAGGTGGTTTTCCTTGGTTAGTAAGTGGATGGACATTGTCAGTTTGATTCCTAGGTATTGGAGTCATTTGGTGAGCAAGTCAAATGTGTGTTTTCCCTCTAACATTCTGATCGTGGTTTGTGGCAGTCGGATAGGAAGTGCCAGGGCTTTGGCAGTGTTGTTCTTATAATAGAACACGTTGCCGTATCTGAATAACAGTTGTAGTAGAGTTGGGATAGATCGAGTCGGGTCCGTCAAGAATAGAAGTATGTCGTCTGCGAACAAGGTTAGTTTTTGCTTGCCAGTGGGGGTTCTGAATTTGTGAGTCATGTTTGATGTGTGGTATCAGGGGTTCCAAGCATAGAATAAAAATAAGCGGGTTAAGAGGGCATCCCTGGCGGGTTCCATTGTGGATGTGGAAGGGTGCTGAAAGGAATCCTGTGTTGAAGACCTTCGCTGAGGGTCAGCGGTATAGAGCTAAAATACTGGTTAGAAAAGCCTGGGGAAATCCCATGGTGTCAAGTGTTTTGTACATGTAGCGCCAGTTCAGCTGATCAAATGCCTTTTCAGCGTCGAGCGCTAAAATGACCCCCTGCTGGTGTGAGGTGTGCTCCCATTCTATTAGGTTTATAAAGTGCCTGGTGTTGTCACCCACCTGCCTCCCTGGGAAAACCTGGCTTGTTCCCCCGAGATTAATGTAGAAAGAAGCAGTTTGATCCTGTTTGCCAGTAGTTTGGCATAGAGTTTAATGTCAGCATTAAGGAGGGAAATTGGTCGTATTTTGGCACATACTGTTGGGGGTTTATTGGGTTTGGAGAGGGTAATGATATAGGCCTCCAGCATTTCTGCTGGGACTTCCCCTTTC